GTGGTACTGGGTTACGTGATACCAGTAGCAAGATTGATCTCGATTATCCTGACCTGACCTGGAGTAGTTAAAAGGAGTTACTTCCCGCAACAGTACTTTGAGAAAACCAGGCATGACATTTTGGAAGTGCATAAGGAAAAACACTGCATCTAACAAAATACAGGAGTCTAAGGTGAGTGTACGTTTTGTAGTTGGAGTAAGTAGTTAGTTACTGAGCTCACGCTGCATTAGAGTATAAACAGAACACAAACAAACATAAATCAACTTACGGGTGAGTCAACACCGCGTCAGAGGTTCAGACAGAACACAAACATAAAAAACATAAAGTAACTTACGGGTGAGCCAACACCGCGTCAGAGGTTCAGACAGAACACAAACATACATAAAAAAAAACATAAAAAACATAAACATAAACATAAAGTAACTTACGGGTGAGCGAACATCGCGCCAGAGGTTCAGACAGAACACAAACATACATAAAAAAACATCAAAAACATAAACATAAACATAAAGTAACTTACGGGTGAGCGAACACCGCGCCAGAGGTTCAGACAGAACACAGACATACATAAAGAACATAATGCCCCCTCCAAGCAATCAGAGAGTGTTGGTTTCTTATCATGACAAGAATAAATGGTTGCATCATCAGCGAACAATGCCACCTTAGATGTGAGAATATCTGGAAGATCATTAATGTAAATTAAAAAGAGTATAGGGCCAAGGATTGACCCTTGAGAAACCCCTGTGAGAGCTGTCCATCGAGGACAACTTTAATACTACGATTGGAAAGGAAAAATTTAATAATCTTAAAGATGTTACCAGATGCACCATAAGAAGAAAGCTTATAGAGAAGACCAGGATGCCAAAATTTATCAAAAGCTTTAGAAATGTCAAGAACAATATTCTTAGCCTCTCCACCTCTATCTAATGCACAATAAAACCTATCAGTTATTACTGTTAGCAAATCAGCTGTAGAACAAGAAGATCGAACTCCATATCGATGATCAGAAAGTTATTAGATTCAAGATAAGAGATTGAGTATTTTTTAATTAAAGATTCAAAAACCTTGCGTATGATAAAAAGAAGATTAATGGGACCGCAATTAGACGAGTCAGATTGTTCTCCAGAATTTTTGAGGTTATGGGATAACAGATGCTGCCTTCCAGCAAAATAGAAAACAAGACTCAAAACATTTAACAAGTGATAAGCACTTGTTTTGAAAGTATAGACAACAGTTCTGGAGAACACTTCTGCAAAACTATAACAAGTATGTTGTCCACAAGCAGAAGAATCTAAGCAAGAAATTACTTTGGATACAGAAGCTAGAGTGATACAGAAGTCAAGCAATAGATTAACCTGTTTTTTCAGCTATATCTGGTAGAATACAACTAGTGGAATCAAGAGATGATATTGATGAGAAGATCTTAGCAAACAATTCAGCTTTGTCTTTAGGCGAGTTGACAAAATCTGAACTATACAAGAGTGGTGGAATAACAGACTTGCCCTTATTATAGGTACTGTTGAAGATTCTCTAGAAGCCTCGAGAGCCTTGTTTTTCAGATGAAATACAAGATTTCGTGACCTAAAAATAGCGAGCTTTGGTGCCAGTCAAAACCTTTTTACAATGGTTTCTAGCAATAGTAAATAAACATCTGTTTTCTTGAAAATTATTTTACTGATAGATATGAAAGCAATGGTTTTGATTGGAAATCGCAGCAGCAAAATGAAAGGAAAACCATGGAGAAGAGTGAGGCTTGATTTGGAATGGTCATGAGGGAATAAAAGATTCCATACCAGCTTGAATCCAAGAGGTTATGTAGGAAGCGCATTTGTCAGCAGGAAGTTGAAAGAAACCCAAGGGCCATCACAAAAAAATCCTGTAAAGAGTTAGAGTCAGCTTTGAGGTAGTTGTAAGAGGTACAATGATAAGGGGATTCTAACGGTGAAGATAATAAGATAATAGTTTCAGAGAGATCAAACTGTGATCAGGTCAAGCATGTGACAATTGGAGTCTTTATAAATTAAAGGAAGATAACCATCAACACTAAGATCACAAGATGAGACAGCTGAACTCAAATTAGTCTCACATAGTGTAAGTAGGTCTGGTGAACTTTGCAAGAAATAAGACTTCACAGAAGAAATGTTACTTCAAAGACCATGAATATTAATGAAATAGTCAGGAAACCTGACTCAATACTGTTAATAAACTGTAATCCATAACAGAGGGCTCCAAATATGGCCTCAACAATGCACACCAAAAGTATGAACATAGGCACCATCCGTGTGCTACTTGGCACTGTTAGTTCTCTGATATTTTACAGCTGTTGATGAAATCAACCTCTCTGAAAGCTACCACAGAGTTCAGGAAACCTGACTAACATAGGGCTGCCATAATTTTTGGACTACCGACCTGGACAAAAGCTCCTATCCCCCTTCCCCTCCCCCCTCAAAAAAAACAAAAAACGTCTAAAAAAATTTAACAATTATTACAATAGTTGCCGTCACAGCAGCAATTAAAAAAAATTATGCTATTGGTGCTCACCAATAGCATAAGTTCTTTTAAAATGCAACAAAAATTGATAATACCATTTCGAACGGAAAAAAAGAGAGCTATATAGCTCATTCCACTTACAATTTCAATTTTTTGTTTGCTTGTGGGAGGAGGGGGGGAGAATAGTCCCAGTGTTGGTAACATCTTCTGAATGGTTAAGAAAACAAGTTTTGCGCTTTTACGTTATTTGAATAATTGAAATAAAAATTAAATTCAGCAGAAATTAGAAGAATACATAAAAAAAAAATGTAAAAAGTGTTTCCAATGCATGTATAACCGGGGTTAATTTTTTAATAAGGCTAATAGTTTTAAATCGACCGGGACAAATTACCCTTTGACAGGGACACTGGGACACAAATCTTTAAACCGGGACATGTCCTGGTGTACCGGGACGTATGGCAGCCCTAGACTAACAGCCAGCCTCAGAACCATATAACTGAGTTTTAGAGCTGTATCCTCATTAGTAGATTATAGAATGAGTTGTCTAGTCATAAAAACAGAGACACAAACAAATCCCATACATTGAATCAAGAAGATCCAACATTAAACATCCTAAACTGGAAGTAATGTACTATTAATATATGCGCCAGGCTAATAGATAAAGAAGGGGTGCGAGGCTGGTCAACAGATAAAATCTGTTTACCCCTTAAGTTTTTGCCTAGGAGGCCTTCTACAAGATAGTAGCTGAATGCATTTAATATCTGCCCAAGTTGAGTATTTTTATCTAGACACATCTCTAGCCTTTACTCAACCAAGAGCACCAAGGAAGGGGGTGTTTTAAGTTGGAGTTGGCTTCTCCTAGCTTTTGCCTAAAAATAATATATCTTTAAATACAGCAGGACATGAAGCAAGTTGTACTGAGTTACATGTTACCAAGATAACCTGACCTGGCATTAAATAGTTGAATAAGCAGGATAGATAATTTGCAAAAATTCATTTTCACTTGAGATTCTGAGGTTCAAAATCTATAGACGGTTGCAATACAAATTTATAAAAACTCCTCACTGACTCACATTCCGCCATCATACTTTCCAATTACCCTCTGGGTCATTCTGGAAAATTCTTCTCTAAAAACAAGCAACAAATGATGTTATTATGCATTTTACAGTTATTAAAATTAAAATTACAAAAGAGAATTTTTTTTTATTCAATTTGAATCAGGTCCCTTGATCTGCTTGAATCAGGTCCCTTGATCTGCTTACAATACAAACTTATAAAAGGACAACTACCTGTTTTTTTATTTGATAAGTTTAAAATTCTTATCAAAGTTCTTATTAAAATTCTTTAAGAAACTAAAAGGCGGTTTTTTTATCTTATTTTTTATCATTTATATAACAATTAATTATTTTAAGTTTAAAGTAATCAACTGTAATATTTTGATAAACATTGATTAACATTAAGTTACAAGTTACAAAAAATACCATTTAACAACATTAACTTGGGGATCTTGAAGATCTTGTTGTTAAAAATTTTAATGGTTTCTTTATCACCATAAAAATTTTTGAAACTTATCATATTGTCAGAAGGAACTAGCATCAATGCTTGAGAGCATTCATCAAAAGCATTTTTCAAATCTTTTATGACTTTTGTGAAGAAACTGATGATCTTGACTGATAAATTGATAAGTTTGTTAAAGAAACATGGGAACTTAAAACAAATTTTAGAGTTATTTTGTCTTAAATGTATTTTTAAACCAATTTTTTCTTGGATAAAACTTTATTAACATATCCCTCTATGTGGTGTTTCTAAATGCATGTATGGAAACTAAGTAATGTCAGGAAAATAAAGGACACTAGGAACGATTAGATTTAATGCTATTGGTTTTTAATTAGACTACACCATAATTTATGTTGTCATCAAGCATATAAATGGTTTTATTGACAATCAGAATAACCTTTAGTGCACATTACATTCAGTTAAAAACTAAACTTACTTTTTAAACTAAACTTACTGGCAGTTAAAAGAGTAGTTAAGGCTGAAATTGATGATTTTTATATTTAATTCTTTATTTTCCTGAAAATTTTATCTTATTAACCTGTAAAAACAACTGTTAAATATAAATTTTTTAAACAAATAAATTCACCTTAAAAACTGATTTTAAAATTTTTTATTAAACTTAGATAATTGTATCTATGAATTTACTATTTTAAGTTTTTCATTTACATTATAAATCACCCTTGAAGGTAGTATGATTTTCTTGCAAAGCCCCTTGGGTGTCCGAATTTTAAAGGATAATCTATTTATCGGATTATTTATTAGCAAAATTTTAACAAAATAAATTATTTATAGTCAATGAATAATGCAATCAATAATGCAATTACTCATTATCATACATGTATCTTGTAGTTACTAAATATCATACATGTGTCGTTTAATTAATATTTATCATAAAATTACATTTAGATTCAAAGTTTAGTTTTTAAGAAATAATTTATTTTAAATGTTTTAGATCATAAGCAAATTAAAAAAAGGAGAGCAAGTTGAAGAAGACGCGGAATGATTTTTAGTAGAATTTTTGATAACATTTATAAACCTGAAAGAACTTATTCGTCATTTATAAACCTACCTATTTATAAACATTTATTCGTCATTTATAAACCTACCTATTTATAAACATTTGTTAAATGGAAACAGTAAGGGACAATTTAAATTTTAAAAGGTATTTTTTATCATGTAGTAGCCACAATTTTATTAATTTTAATGTCAACTGTTTTTTGTAGGTCTAAAGTAAACATTAACGTACTTTTATGTAGTTTTTATTAAGATAAATGTATTTTTTTATATTTTTAAATTTTACATATTTTAATTGATGTTATTTGAATATTTATTTTAATATTTGAATATTTATGTTAATATTTTAAAATTTAATTGTAATATTTTCAATGTAAAAATTAAGCACTAATAAAATAATACATTTAATATTTACATTAGTTGGTTAATAAATACTTATCAAACGATTACCTTAGGCGTCAATATAATTTTTCAGGAGAGAGTGTAGAAATATTTTGCTAAAAAGTTGTTAAAAATAACTAAAAATTCTCGAGTATTTATGCGTACTTTTTTTACATTTATTGACAATTAAATATAGAAGAAAAGTTTTAACAAAAAAATATATTATTTTAAAGAAAGAGAAGAAATTTTTTTTCAAATTTTTAAAACTTTTTCTTTCCATTAAAATGTGTTTTCTTGTCAACACATTTGACTCTATCTCCATAAACACTTATCATACAAGAGAGTTTTTCAACAACCATGTTCGATATTACCCAGCAAACATTCTATAGCGAAATTTCAGTGGACCGATATTTTGAGCATTTTGAGCGGTCCACTGTAGTTTTGCTCATCGTTTTATTACAATGGTAGTAGTGATAGTCGCCAAAGGTGACTAGCCGATGACTAGTCATTACACCACATTTTGGAAAGTTGTTGGCTGGCCCACAACAGATGTTACTAATGGTACAAAAAGACCATTAACTTATGAGCAAAACTCCAACGAACTACTCAAAATGCAATTCAACTAGTTTTGTTTAAAATAAAAAAACAATAATTGAATAATAATTAATTGATTAAAGCAATAAATTTATTCTTGATTGTGAAATTTCTCATTGTTAGACCACTTCAACTATTCTGTAACTTAAATTTCAAGTTTATGTTTCAGCACCGTGGAGGAGCAGTCATTTACTTTAGTCGCGCCAATTAGTCAATTGTTTAGGCATAATCATCCGGTGAAACATTTTAATATTAGTTGTGACATTTTTTTGTAAAAAACTGAATTCCGGATTTTCGGAATTACAGGATATGAAATCCGGAATTCCGGTTTAATTCCGGAATTATTATAAAAGAATTTAAAAAATATAAAGAAAAGAAAGTACATTATTTTTTAACATAAATGTATTTAGTTCAAAACAATAAAATTAAAACAAATTACAAAATAAGGAAATATTTCATATTAAAATATTTTTGAACTACATAAATAAAATTGCAAAATAAAAGTTCAATTTTCATTTTGATTTTTGAAAAAGCTTCTTAAAAAGCACAAAGTATCCAATGTTTTGTCGTTGAGCCTTGATCGAATTTTTGTTGAAAATGCTCCTGCAGCGGAAAAAGCGCGCTCTGACTCCACACTTGTTTGTGGAATTGTTAATAAACTTTTGTAAAGATCTTCCAAAAGCGGTCCGCGGGATCCCCCTTCATCCCAAAATTTCATTTTACTGCGAATTTCGGAATGAATCGATGATTTTTGTAAAACTTTTGACCGTGATTCCGAGATTGATTCCTTTATCTTTTGCTGAAGAATTTTCTGCAAGGATAACTGAGTTTCCAATGATTCGATAGGTTTATCGTCATCCATTTCAGTAGACTCAGATACTGTCGGGTCTATTTCTAATGCTACTTCACCACTAAGTCTTTGGATTAGGGATATGATAATTTTGTTAATTTCAGTTTTCGAGCGACGCAAAATGTTCTTGTGAATTTTGGTTTTACCCCCATTATGCAAATATTGAAGAACATCAGATACCACAGTTCTTCTTCGATTAATTTGAACTTCAAACTCGTTTTTCATTTCACGGCCAATTTCTTCATTCTCATCAAAATTTTCTAACACAAACGTAAATGTTGCATCCGCAGAAAGTAAATTTGCATCAGCACGGTATAACGCGTCTACGGCTAATTTTATAGGCTTCAAATTTCTAGAAACTGTAGATATTATATTCCATTCTGAATCATTCAAAAATGTATCCGCTTTGATATCAATTATTGCCTTTTTTATTGAACTTTTCAAAAGATTAAAACGTTCTAACATGGACATCAGGCTACTCCATCTGTCTTCGAATCAAGCAATAGCTGCAATTCCTTTTCATGATATTCCTTCACATGTTTTTGCAACACTTCGTTTTTTAAAGGGGAACGTTTGCTGGTGGGTGATTTTGGAATATCACCGAATCCACGCATTGTTAAACATTTTCTTAAATCGTTTGACCTACAAAAAACACGAAACGGTAAACCATCAGAAGCAATCATTCTAGCTACTACGGCAGAAAAAGTTTCATCTTTTTTTGACTTGAAAAAATCAATGATCGTGTTTGTTTTTCTGGTTGTGCTCACAACACTATAGTTACTGTCAGATGTAGAAGCTGTTGTATTTTCATCAAACTTTCGCTTGTTTAAAACTGTGTTGTGTTTAGAACGAAAATGTGTGTGCATGGGAGTTGTACATCCACCCAATATCTTTAAAACTTGCTTGCATTGCATGCATTTCGCCACCTGATTTGTTTTCCCTCGTAGAAAATATTTCCACACTGAATTTGATGAGCTTTCTTTTGAAATGTCCATAAAAGTTTCTTCAGATTTATCTACCATACTTGGGTTGGGATTTAAAACAATAACAATGTAAGTCTACAAAATTTTTGAAACATAAAATTAATATAATGACTTACTTTGTCTGCTCTGCATACAATTTAATTTCTTAATGTTAATATTTCATTTAAAAAAAGAATTTTAATGCATTTGCAGTAGCCTAAGCCTACTAAAATTTAAATTTTTTGAATTTATAACAATGAAAGTACACGATGCTGCCATCTATAGTAAAAGTTCTTCTAAATTCAAAAATTCTTAAAATTTCAAAAAAAAACTTTTGTTTTGTTTTTATATTATGTATTTATTTCGTTTTAAAAATTTTAATTTTTATTACTAAAAACTGTTGTATTATACTACTGAGGATGACAACTTTGTTGTTGAAAATCGTTTTTAGTAATAAAAATTAAAATTTTTAGAACGGAAGAAATACATAATATAAAAACAAAACAAAAGTTTTTTGAAATTTTTATAAAAACAGTTCTAAATAACTTCAAAAATAAAATAAGAATTAAATAATCGAAATTCTAAATTCTAAAAATCCGGAATTTACGTTTTTGAATTCCGGATTTTTAAAAATTCAAAATATGACGGAATTTCGGAATTCCGAAATCCGGATTTGGATTCACTAGTTGTGACATAATTTTAGAAAAAATCAAAAATTTCACTTCACAAAGTAAAAATTTAATTACGCCCGTTAAAGATCTCTATGTATAATAGAAAAATCTTTAACGAAAAAAAATATGCTAATATAAATAAATAGAATACTAGTAAATGAGAATTATAAAGTTCTCTCGATTTTCATGGCAAAAAAAAAATTTAATTTTCTGTTTTTATTTATTATATTATTTTTATGATCAAAGTTATATAACTTTAATATATCAATCTTACTATTATTATTTATATAATATATCAATCTTAGTATTATTATTTATATAATATATCAATCTTACTATTATTATTTATATAATATTTAAAAACGTATGTTTTTGTTTTTTCATTGTTGATTTCAACCTTATTAATAAGGTTGTAATATTATTAATATATTTAACAAAATTGGAATTAATATTTTATTTGTAAGCAAGCAATTTTAATATAAGAATAATTATAAGCATAAATAACATTAAAATATATATATTTTTAAATATAAACAACTACAGCTGGAAAATAATTAAACCTTTATGTTATATTTTGGAGTTACAAATAATTTTTTATTTAACAAATTTGGTTGGGTATTTATGATAAAGTACTTACCAAAAGGTTTAATAACTCTTGACGACCACAGAGCGCGAGACAACTTTATTCAACAACTTAAGGTGGCACACAACTGAAAGTAGGATTTTTTTTTGTTGTTGTAAATTTTAATAATTTTTTTTTGAGGAAAAAAAAAGTATATAAAAGTTAAAAAAAAAAAAAGCATTGAAATTTTTTTTGGTGGAAAAAAGTTCATAATGGCTGCTCTTAATGATGAAACGAAGCTATGCGTCAATAGTTTTTTTGAACAAAATTGTATATCCCGTCAGGCACCTGGAGAAAGAGAAACAATTGTTTTAAGAAGTAGTAAAAAAAAAAAGAAAATGCAAAAAAGGTATTTAACAATGAATATAAGTAAAGCATATCAAATATTTAAAAACGAACAGACTGATTTTTCAATCAGTAAATCCAAGTTTGCTAGTTTGAGACCAGGCCATATACTTTTATCAAGCTTAATGTCTAGAAATGTTTGTTAATGTCAAAAACATGAAAACATTATCTTGACACTCAAAGCATTACATTTCATCGATTTAAAAACTCCCCTATATTCGCATGCTTTACCAAATACAATAAAATTGTTTAGCACATTGGAACAAAAAATTAGTAACATTATTTACTGCTGTTAGCTGGCCTGGTGACTCTTGTAAATCTGCCGGTATTATTTCTGATGATTTGAACCATTCAAGAAGTTCAGTTATTTATTTTATTGACCTTTTTATAACTAACCTTATTAGAAAGGATCTAAAATACTTACAAGTTTGATCTGATGGTCCTAGCAGTCAATTTAAAAGTTGTTACATAGTAATTTCAATTCCATGGCTTGAAAGCAAGCACAAAATTAAATATTGCTGGAATTACTTTACATCGTAAAGGACCATGCGATGGTATAATAGCAACCATAAAAAGATTAGCAACACAAATATTCGAAGAGAAGCTCTGATTAATGACACAACAGCATATTATAAAGCCGTCAGAGATGAAAGTCAAGTAAACGTTTTCATGGTTGCTGCTGAAAAAATTAAAACTGCTTTTGATAGCACAGAACTTGGAAACATCATTATTAATGCTAGTAAAATGTCTGGAATATTTTGTGCCCATTGCTTAAAACAATTTAATGATAAAATGGAAATGAAACCTTATTCAAGTGCATCATACTTAGTTAACTAGATAAAATTTAATAAAAAAAACGTAGTTGAATTTTACAAGACTTTTTTTGAAATTATTGTAAATAAACTGTTTTGTTAAACGCTACCAATCTTATAAAATACGGTTTCTTTTGTTTCAACTTTCTTTTTGATAATGTTATTGTCTTTATATTCAAAGATTTTGTACTGTCACACCGTGACATCACGGTGTGACGTAAACTCCCTTGATATATTTATGTGGTGTCCCCATTTAAATTTATAAAACGTTTTTAAAATGTTATGATACTATTATAACACCATTTAAAGGTGAGTTTCCACTCATCCGTTTTTCTACGGGAAAGGGAAAGGGAACGGAAAAATAATCACGTGAGCATGCGCAGTTTTCTTTCGGACAAATAAAAACTTTTATTACGCATGCTCACGTGATTATTTTTCCCATTCCCGTAGAAAAACGGATGAGTGGAAACTCGCCTTAAGTATCCAAGACATAACAAAAAAATACTTCAAAAAATCCACAAGAGCTGAACTCCTGTTACTTCTTCTTATGACGGAAAATGTTAGATAATTTTAGTCACGTCGTGACGCAACCTTTTAATGCGTATACCTAAAAGTCTATAAAATATTAAAACTAAATAATTATGTTTTTAGAAACAGTAATGTAGAAATGTAATGGTATATGAAAAGTTTTTAGTATTTTTAATTTTTAATTTTAAATGCGCTAAAATCTGATGTTTTCCCCCAAAAAATAGTCAAACATCATGCCGCGACAACATGGAATAGCCGATTAGGTCCATGTGTTGGTTGTATGTCTAGTAAATCTTTGTTAAACTGAATTACAAGTTGTTTAACAAAAGTTGCTTTTTTAAGAGAAGATGTTGGAGTAGCACGTATTGCTTTTTTAACAGCTTTACCAAGTATACAAGATGATTTGTAAGCAGAAGAGTTGTAAGATGTTATTTTAGATGAGGAAATTCTACTCTTTTTTTTCTTAACTTGTCCTTTAAACGTGTTAATTCAACATTAGGCTATCATTTTTCCTTTTTCCGTTTCGAATCTTTTTATTTTATAAAATCCGGACCATATTTTTGCATTTGTCTTTCTCTATACTTACGCTGGCGTTCACCATGTGTCTGAGGCATTTTCATTACTTTCAACAAAGAAATAAACAGTTTGTTTGTGAAAGTTTACTTTTTATAAGAATTGTATAGGCAATTAACATTCAGAATATTTCAGCGAAGTCTTCAGCGATGGCGTGACAAAATTTAAGAAAAACTAAATAACAAAGGTGTTAGTAAAATGTGTCTACATATATTTCAGGTACACCTACAAGTTTAATAAATGAAAACAATGTTAGTTATATTAAAGGAGGTTTAAAAGCTTATCCACAAAAAAAAAAAAAAAATTACGACAAATGTTAAACCAACATGTTTTTTGCGTAACATTTTTAAATAAATAAGTCTTTAAAAAATTTAATTTTAAAAAGAGTCGTCACAACGTAACATAAACTTAAGACACATAAAACAAAAACTAAAAATATTTAAATATCTATTGATCTTTATTGCCCTATTTTAGTTACAAGTATTTTATAAATATTTATTTAAAATAAATAAATATTCTTACGCTAGAATGAAAAATGTTACTATTAGTGTCACGGCGTGACATGTCAAAGCGTGACAATCTTAAAGAAGACCAAATAGAAATTTCTCAATGAAAGACTATTTAATTATTATAATAAATTTTCAATTTGAAAAGCATCTATATTTTGCGTGAGACAAATCTACATAAAAATTTGAAAAGTTTAAAAAAAAAAAGGTTTCAAAATGATTTACTAGAAAAATAATTTAAATTTGAAGTCTAAAAAATTTTGTTTAAAGTTTGTTTGTAAATTTTGTTTAAAGCATCAAATCCTAAAATTTTTCGAAAACCATTTCTACATGTTACATGTTTTTAGAAACTTCAAACTTTTAACTTTAGAACGATACATTTAGTTTTTTGTTTTCTAGGATTTGAAATTTATATTAAACTTATATTTTTTTTATATTTAGTATACGTTTTTCCGAACAAAAATTTATATTTTTGTTCGGAAAAACGTGTACTATGCCTTAGTTGCATTGAGTGGATATGTTATCAAAATACTTTAATATCTAATTCAACATTATAATAGGATAAAAATGTCTTATGCAATTCTATATTTTAGCTGCAAAAAAAAAAGTAAAAATAGCAAAAAGATATTCAAAAATACATTTTCAAAAATTTAACAAATATATATATATATGATTGATAAAAAAAATAATTAATAAAGTTAGATTTTAAATTACAAATATTTCTTAAAAAAAAACACCTTGAAATAAAATTTAAAAAATACTTTAAGAAAACAAACATTTCAAACATCGTAAATATCATGAATAACTTTCTTTCAAACAAATTTTAAACTTAAAACGATGTTTCTAGAAACTCTTTTTCCAAAATATGTTTTAAAAGACTTGTTGTAAATTGAGGGTACTTTGTAATAACTATTTTCTTCGTTAATATCAAAACTCAAATAACTGTCACCTCCAGCAATTATTCCGTCAAAAAGCTTACATAACTCTGTAAAAGTGGGTTGCTGTAAAGGATCGTCACTCCAACACTGTACCATTATATCATACCTGAAAATTAAAAAAAATGGTGTTTTTTAAAAAAAAAAAAATTTCAAGGATAAAACTTAAAATAATAATAATAAAAAAACAAAAAAAGTTACATAGGTTGAGAACAATTTTCTGGTCGATCCATCCTGCAACCAGACTTTAAAAACTCCAGTAGCCCACGATTACTTATTGTAGGATAAAGCGTACTTCTTGTAAAAAACAAACGAACAGTGAATTCAAAATAAAACAAGGCTTATCAAATTATAAATAGTACACAACAAATTGTCACGAATTTTTACAGTATACTTTTACCTACCTAGCGTAAAAACTTCAAACAAAACAATTCCATATTTCCACCTAAATATATTTGAAACTTTCCCATTTCTATTCGCTGAAAGATGCACAAAAAAAATTAAAACAAATATATAAGAATTAAAACAATTATGTATTATAATACATAATACATATAATATTCTATCATTTATGACTGTGTCATATAATTAGAATAGGTATTTAATAAAGGGCTGTGTGTCTATGGACTGCTTCTGCTTATCACGAAGCTGACATTTGCAGTGAAGATGCATGAAGCAAAACAATCATAGCTTGCATAATCAGCATTGTCTGTTGCTTTAAGCAGATGAAATAAATTCAAAACAGGCAAATACGCCCTTAGTATGCCATCTTCTTTATCACAACCACTAAATGAAACTGAGGTTGCCATAATATTTATTTACTAAATATATTTAAATACTTTATTAAATATTTTTACTTTACTAAATATATTT